AAGGAAGGCTGTATTGAACCTTTGTAGTGCTGTTTGTCCACTTGTCCAGTTCTTTTTTAGCTTCAGTTTTAAATTGGCTACAACTAGGTGGTGATCTGAAGCTACGTCAGCACCTCTCCTGGTTCTCACATCTTCCATTGTCCTTCGGAATTTTTTGTTGATGCAAATATGATCTCTTGTGTATACGCTTGTGTGGAAATATTGTGCCTCCTATGACCAATTTGTTGAATGCACATAGATTTGCAAATCTTTCTCCATTTTCGTTTCTCTCACCCAGTCCATGTCGTCCCATAATATCTTCATATCCAGTGTTGTCTATTCCGACTTTGGCATTTAGATCTCCCATCAGAATAGTTAGGTCCTTTCTTGGGCATTTCTCAATGATTGACTGCAGCCGCTCGTAGAACTGATCTTTAATGTCGTCGTTGCTATCATTGGTGGGTGCATAACATTGGATAATATTCATTAAGATCCCCTCCTTCTTTGTTTTGAATGATGCTTTGATGATTCTGGATCCGTGAGATTCCCATCCTACAAGTGCATTTCGTGCTACTTTGGACAGCATAAGAGCGACTCCCTGAGTGTGTGGAGCATTTTCCTCTTCGTGACCGGAGTATAGCAGCATCTCTCCCGTAGCTAGCCTTTTCTGTCCAGCTTGGGTCCAGTGGGTTTCGCTGATTCCCAGTACTGCTAAGTTGTATCTCCTCATTTCCATTGCTATTTGACTGGTCTTCCCGGTTTCCCACATTGTTCGAACGTTCCATGTACCTATAAAAATTTTTGCTCTGGTTGTTAGAAGGGGCATCGGCCTCGTGGCTTCCGAAGGAACTCGGCTTTCACCATGAAGCGTCATAATTCTTCTAAATGAAGACCTTCTAACTCCCAGGGCAGAGTTAAAATGGTTTGAATTATTTTTTCTGGTAAGCGTTTTTTTAGCGAGTTAGTTTTCTACGGGATGGGGACGCTAACCCCATGCCCAACCCTCCTCCTTTACCCGGGCTTGGGACCGGCAGTAACTCTAGAAGAGCTACAGGCGGAGTTATATGTAACCATAATAACTTTCAAAGTGCAAGAACGCTTAAAACATGGTCGTTCAATGAATATTAGGTAGACGGGTTGATGGCAGTGTGAAATCTGTTACAAATTGTTGATTCTTGAAGAATTTATGAGCTTGGATGTTGTATATACTATTCCTCAGCTTGATAATTCAGAGGGACTTGAGAACACAAAAATGTAGACGTAGTTAATACAATCGTTTATTTCTACATTACTTATATACTTACGCCTGTTACCCCTCGTCGAGGAGCATAGGCCATTCACCAGCGTTCTCCGTCCAACTTTGTCCTGGACAATCCTTTCCAGTTCTTTCTAGTTGCTATACAACCATTTCTTATCTGCTTTTAGTTCTCAGAGCAGTGTGTTCTTTGTTCTTCCTTTTTTATGTTTTCCTTCAGGATTCGAAGTTAGGGCTTGCCTGGTGAAGCACTTTGGTGATTTCCGTAATGTATGTCTTATTCACCTCCGACGTCTTTTGATAATTTCCTCCACAATTGAAAGCTGGTTTGTCCTTCTCCCATAGTAGGTTGTTGATGATGAAATCCGACCAATGGACACTGAGTATCTTTCGTATACATGTGTTTATAAATACTTTTACGTTTTGATGGTTTTGGTAGTGCTCCACATCACAGCTCCACAAAGTAGGGCTGTCTTGACGTTCATATTGAATGTTGTGACTTTGTTTGGTTGACAGTTGTTTTGAGTTTCATATGTTCTTCTATCGTGGGAATGTTGAAAACCTTTCCTGGTACTGACGGTAGTGTTGTGCCCCCGTAGCTTCACACTTTTTCGGATCTCCTTTTTTGGCACCTTGATTAGGTATCCTCCTTTCCAATCCATCGGTATTTGTTCTTCCTCTCACGTCTTTATGAACAGAACATGAAGCATACTTGCAATTACTTTTATTGAGGTGTGCTACTAATTACGATAGATATAAGTAGTATGTATCATCAACCGAGAGTAAAAAGCCTAGAAGCAGAAGGTTAAGAGGATCGAAGAAAACAGAACGAGAACAGAGAATGATTGCTGTGAAATTGAAGGATCAGTCAAGTCTGAGACGATTGACTGAAATTCTGCAACTTGAGTATTTACTGTATGGTCCTCAAATTTTACTAACCGATTCCGGAATTTTGTGTTCAAATACATTCGATTGCCCCACTAGTGTTCTCGTTCACTATATTATACCTGACTTCAAAACTTCAGATGATTCATCGTCGGGTCCAGCTGCTTTCTCACTATTTGTTGGCGGAGTGACGCCTATGGGAAGGTCTGTGTGTACTGCTTCGATATTCAGTGGAGCTGGTCTATTCAAGAGTTCCTCGAATTATTCTACCTACCTCTTCCTCTGTTCTTGACCGACCTCTCTTTTTTATTATATCTCCCTGCTAGTTTCTTCATTTAATCATACAACTTTCTCATATTTTCTCCTAATACAGCTTTTACCGCTGTCCTTGTTACCTCTTCCATGTATTTCTGCTTATCGGCTCTAATGTTCCTCTTCACTCGTTTGTTTCCTCTGTGTTGAATTTGTGCCATTAATTTCTCTGCTCTTATTTGACTGATGTTACTTACTGTCTTTGTGTTTTTCCTTTCTTGAATATTGTCCAGGGTTTCGATAGAGATCCGTTCGTTATGTTGATGCTTGTTGCGGTCCAGCACCTCCTGACACGCTGAAGTTATTGCTTTTTTGATCTTTTTCCAGCTGTCCCCTATAGTATTTTGTTATTCTTTGACTACATCATGTAAGGCTTGGAACCTGTTGTTGAGAGTTATCTTGAATTAGTTCAGTTTATCAGTACGTCGATGAAAGTCCATTTTGAACCTTTGTACTGCTGCCTTTCCAGCTGTCCAATGTTTTTAGCCTCAGTTTCATCTTGGGCAGAATCAGGTAGTGACCTGAAGCTATGTCAGTTCCTCTTCTTGTTCTCACGTCCTCCATTGTCCTTGTGAATTTTTTACTGATACAAATGTGATCTATCTGGTTCTCCCTGGTGCGATCCAGAGAGACCCATGTAGCTTTATGTGGGAATATTGTTGAATGCAAGTAAATTTGCAAATCTCTCTCCACTCTCGTTCCTTTCTCCCAGTCCATACCGTCCCATGATATCTTCATATCCGGCGTCATCCATTCCGACTTTGGCGTTTAGGTCTCCCATCAGGATGGTGAGATCCTTTCTTGTGCACTTGGCTATGATTGATTTCAGCCTCTCATAAAACTGATCTTTATCATCGTCGTTACTACCATTTTTGGGTGCATAATATTGGATGAAATTCATCATGATTCCCTCCATCTTTGTTTTGAATGATGCTTTGATGATTCTGGATCCATGATATTCCAATGCTATAAGTGCATTACATGCTTCTTCGGATAGCATCAGAGAAACTCCCTGAGTACGTGGAGCATCTTCCTATTCGTGAAAGGAGTACAGTAGCATCTTTGCTGTCCAATATGAGTCGAATGTGTTTCTCTGATTTCAAGCATTACCAAGTTGTATCTCTTTATTTCTGTTGCTATTTGACTGGTCTTCCCGGTCTCCCATATTGTCCGGACGTTCCATGTACCTATAAAAATTGTTGCTCTAGTTGTTAAGCATCTACGAATTAAAAATACTGTTAATGTACTATTTGATTACTAGGCAATTTATAAATCAACATAGTTGAACGGTCCTTCTATTTTGTAATCGTAACAGAGTTAAAGAAGCTATTTAAACAAATTTAATTATTATATACATATAGAGTTGTGAAGATTTCTGAGTTTTAATTGAGATCATTAACTGACGAATGGTAGAACAACACTAAAAACTTGAAAGCACTAAATGGCGTTTTATCTCAATATAAGACTTTTTAGTAGTGCGCATCCACTTAAGATCCTGGGTTCGAATCCTACTTGCAAGATTGTAGATGCGCACTGTTGAGTAGTCCCACACTAGAACGAAAAGGTCATCTATTGCTTTCAGGTTTTTAATAGTACCCTAACAATGATCAATTCATGATCTCAACTAATTATTAAAACGTCCAAGTTATCAATGTTAATAACGTATGACTAAACATACTGCAGTGAACACGAGTGGGGAAAACCGAATGTATTTGAATACGAAATTACAGAATATCTCATTAAAATCTGAGAACCATACAGTAAATACTTTATTCACAAAATATCAATTAATTGTCTCAGACTTCATTTTCCACAGATTTTCACACTGATAATTCGTTGTTTTCGTCCTCTTTTCTTTGATTTCATTAACCTTCTTTCTTTTGGTGATGCATACTACTTATCTCTATCGACATCAGTACCACATAACACAATAACATTAATAAACACATGAGTTATTAGTCCATATTTTTAAAATAAATGAGAAATGCATATCACTTATTATAAACTATTATTAATATCAAATAGTTCGGTGAGAATATAATTTATGGACAACCTTTGAGTGACTCTAAATTGATCTTGAGAATGTTCACATACTAACTAGGATCGAATGAGAATTATAAAAGTGGTGAGGATCTAGAATTAAGATTCACTGTTGATGATTAAGTATTAGGAATTAGATTTATGGTTTTCATCACGAACTGACATCAACTAAAATGCCAAAAACACTGTTTACCCAAATGGATGAATGAATTTTGCACCGAAATCCATGACCTTTTATCTGATTGGTTCATCTATAAATTATAGTGTCGTTCATCAAAATAAAACAAGTAAATGAGTAATGAAGAAAAGAACGTCACATAGTTATTTGTTTTTCATTCATTGTTCCTACATTTTCATACAAATTACTTTCCATTTCCATTCTTTCCTTCTCAATCTTCTACTAAAATACATTCTATTTTTGACTATTGTTTCATTCTACTTATATCAAAGTAAGTAGCTCATATCATAATACAAAATTTTATTATGAATAATGATTATTTTTTTAAAACATTTCTTTTTTATTTATTAGAACAAAAGATTTTCAACATTATAATATTTCAAATTTTTTAAAATTTATGAATAATTCCAATAGTCAATCATTAAAACAATTAAAATTTATTCTATTCAATATTCAACAAATTTATCAAGATATTTTCAATGAATTAATTTATGAGAATGATAATACAAATGAAAGTAATAATCATCATCATAATGATAATAATCGATTAAATGAATTACATAATAAAACAATCAATTTTGGTATATTTAATATAACAATCAAACAAATTTATTGGTTATCAACTATATCCCGATTTATATGCGGTACAAAAACATCACATTTAAATGATATTGGCCAATTAATGGAATTCATTAAAGATATTGATTTTACTAATTTATTTGATATAGAAAAAAAATTAACCCGAATTCAACGTTCATTACCATTAATAACAACAATGAATTCTATGAATTCTATCAATAATAATTATAAAATTAATTGTTTTTCATTACAAAAATTATTACATAATAAATTATTTATACAATATACCGGACGTATAAGATTTTTATTAAATGGTTATATATTTTATTATCCTGTAAATCAATGGACAAATGAAATCATGTATAGAGCAATGGAACCACAACGTTTATTATTATTCTTTAAAAATACACTAAAACAATATCAATTACATACTAAACCAATTTTAAATTATTATTTATCCAATACATCATTATTAATACAAGTTAGACATTTATTAAATCTTTGTATATTACATTCTAATACGCATAATAATACAGTATTACATAATACTATAAGAAATATGTGTATAAAGGGATTATATTGGTTAAGTCCTGAAATAAACAATTATACAAATCAAACAAATGATCTATTAAATAAACCAATTATTTTTAATCAAATTAATAATATCATTGATATTATGATACAATTATTAGATTGTTTTCCTTTAGCAACAAATATATACGGTGTAAATAATGAGACAAATTTTAATTTATTTATGGATTTATTTAAATCACAAGTACATCCAATTGTTCAAGGTATTATATTTAATAATACAATATTTTCATCAATTAATCATAATAATTATACATTGGATATGTTAAAAAATTCATCAACTATAGTAACAATACGTCAAAGTTCGTATCTTATAGATGATACAAATAATTATAAAGTATTAGATCATACATGGCATCCAGGACCACGTAATAATGTAAATGATGGTGATACAAAATATTTTACAAGTGGTTTTTTAGATATACAAGATTTAATTAGTAATGCAATTATAGAAATATCTAATAATTTACCAGAACGTATTCAACGTTTAAATAATTCATGGAATATATGGAATACATCTTCATCTTCATCATCATCATCATCATCATCATCTTCATCATCATCATCATCATCATCATCTTCATCATCATCATCATCATCTTCATCATCATCATCATCATCATCATCAATGGATTTATTGATTGGTAAACAAATGAAATTTTTTCCAACAACATGTTATATAAATGATAAATTTTTATATAAAATAACAAAATTATTACCACAATTATTAATTCTAACATGGATATTAACAGCAATGTTATTAACAAAATATATTGTAGAAGAAAAAGAATTATATATTAAAGAATTTACTAAAATTATGGGTTTTACTAATATTATACATTGGTTTAGTTGGTTTAGTAGTACATTTATAGTTGTATTACCTATTACTATCATTATTACAATTATACTAAAATATGGTAATATTATTATATTAAGTAATATATTTATTATATTTTTATTATTTCTATCTTATATTATATCAATTATTATGTTTTGTTTTTTATGTTCAATATTTTTTTATAAAGCTAATTTAAGTGCTATTATAACTGGTTTATTTTATTTTATATTATATATACCATTGCCAATTATATTAATGAATGAAAAATGGATTACAGAAGAATTAATTATATTTACTTCATTATCAAATCAAGTAGCATTTTGTTTAGGTTTATATTCAATATTAAGATCAGAATCACAAGGTTTTGGTACACAATGGAATAATATATGGCATATTAAATTAAGTGATTCATTATATTCACCTGGTAAATGTATACTGATGTTATGGATTGATTCTATATTATATTTATGTATAACATTATTAATAGAATGGATTATATCAAATAACCATTATATATATCAATTATTCTATTCAAGAATTAAATATCAAAACTGGAAAATAATCAAAAAGAATCATGAAAAGAATCCTATCAATTCAGTGAATAATAATGATAATAATGTTTATGAAGAAAATGGGAAATTTCCATTATGTATAGAATCGAATACAGAATGTTTACCAATTAGTATATCTGTAAATAATATTAGTAAAATTTATATTAAAAATAATAAACCAGCATTAAATCAATTAACTATGGATTTTTATACAAATCAAATTACATCATTATTAGGACATAATGGATCAGGTAAATCGACATTAATATCCATTTTAACTGGTATACATAAACCATCCAATGGTACAGCATATATTTGTGGTTATAATATATATAATCAAATGAATATAATACGTACTAATTTAGGTTATTGTCCACAACATAATATATTATTTGATTATTTTACAGTTATTGAACATATAAAATTTTATGCTAAATTAAAAGGTTTTAATAATGAACAAATGAATAAAGAAATTCAATATTTTATAAAATTATTAAATTTAAATAATAAACTTAATGATCAAGTAAAATATTTATCTGGTGGACAAAAACGTAAATTATCTATAGCTATAGCATTTATTGGTCATTCATCAATTATATTATTAGATGAACCAACTACTGGTATTGATCCATATTCACGTAGATCAATATGGGATTTAATTATTAAAATGAAATTAAATAAAACAATTATTATAACAACACATCATATGGATGAAGCAGATATTTTAGGTGATCGTATAGCTATTATATCACAAGGTCAATTAAAATGTTATGGTTCTAGTTTATATTTAAAATCAATATATAATCAAGGTTATTATTTAATATTAGAACGTCATAATCAATCTATAAATAATGATTCTATAGAAAGTTATCATAATAATGATATATTAATTAATGAAACTATTAATTATATAATTAATTATTTAAAACAATATATTAATGATATAAATTTAATTGATTTTAATCAAAATGAATTCATATTTCGTATTCCAATCCATAATGTTATTGATAATTCATTAAGTCAATTATTGAAACAATTTGAAAATCAACAATCTAATAATAATGATCAAATGAAATTACCTATTGAATTAATAACACATGGTATAATTAGTTATGGATTAATGGATACTTCATTAGAGGAAATATTTCTTAGTATAGCAGATGATCCTGCAATGTTATCAAAGAATTCAAATAATCCATCATGTGATAATATTACAATAACTAATAATCAAAATGATAATCAATATGAAATCGATAAAAATCAAATCAATACATCAATGAATCGAATACAAGAACAACAACAACAGCCAGAAATGTTAACTGATACTAAATTACATGAATCTCATTCAACAGATATAGGCCAAATTTCATCATCATCATCATCATCAACAACAACATTATTACGTCATCTTAATCGTAAACATGATTATAAAATAAATAAACTAAAACAATCTAATGATATAACAAATAATAAATCAATATTAAATGAAAATATCCCATTGCTACAACCTAATATAAAACAACAAATGAAAGCAATGTTTATAAAACGTTTTCATTATTTTAAACGATCTAAATTAAGTATATTTATTGAATTTATATTACCTATATGTGTACTTATTTTAGCATTAAAATCATCACAATTTTTTATTCAAACAACATCCTATCAACCAATGATTATAACACCATGGCTTATGATAAATGATAAAAATAAATTACCATTAAATACATTTTATGAAAATAATTTATATGAATTAAATGATCCAATTGAAAATGTAATGAATCAATCACAATTATTTAAATCTATATTAAATATAGGATGGAATTATGAGAATGCATTAAAAAAACCATTAGGATGGACTGGTCTAGGTTGTTTATCTAAAGAAACATTAAAAAATATCAATGGATATTATAAAATATATGATCAATGTAATTTATCTAATATAAAAATAATGAAAAATGATTTAACTTATAATGAAATGAAATATATACGTTCTATTCAATCTATTGATTGTTCATGTAATTTATCATGTTCTATAAATAGTTATACATCTCCTTATCAACAACCAAGTTTTAGAATTTTACCAACTAAAGATATTTTCTATAATTTAACATCATTTAAAGTATCAAATTATTTAATGAATACACAACATCAATATATAAGACAAAGATATGGTGGTTTAAGTTATCATACATTAAATTATCCATCATTTCGTAAAATTTCTAAATATTTATTAAATTCAAATAATTTATTAATAAATTTATTAACTAATACTACTAGTATCTATGATATACATAATAATTTAACTAAAAAAGATACTTTTTGGATTGATTTAATAACATTTTTACGTTTATCATTACCATCTATATCATATTTACGTATATGGTTTAATAATAAAGGTTATGTATCTGGTCCAGCTTATTTAAATTCATTACATAATTTACAATTAAATATGTTATTAAATAATTATACAAATTTAACTAATATTATATTTATTAATTATCCATTATCATTATCAAATCAAAATATTCATAGTTTAGGTTTATCTAAAGAATTATTAATTGATTTAACATTATCATTATTTACATTACTTAGTTTATCACTTATACCAGCTAGTTTTATATCATTTTTAGTCAAAGAAAATAATATTGATTCAAAACATTTACAAATTGTATCTGGTTTAAAACCAATTATTTATTGGTTAACATCTTATTTATGGGATATTATGAATTATATTATATGTGGTTTATTATGTATTATTATATTTATTATATTTGAAAAATTAGCCTATATACATTCAGATGTCATATATGCATTTATTTTATTAATTTTATTATATGGTATAGCTATTATACCAATGTTATATATGACAACATATTTTATTACATCATCAAGTACATCATTAGTAATATTATCTATATTTAATTTGCTAATTGGTTCTATTACATGTATGTGTACCCTCATATTAGATGATTTTTCTAAAAATAATCTCTTATTAGAAATAATTAATAATATATTAAAATATATATTTACTATATTTCCACAATATTGTTTAAGTCGTGGTTTATTTGATTTAGCTAAACGTTATTATATTATGAATACTATTAAACAATATACAACAGATATCAAGAAATCATCATCATCATCATCATCATTATCATGGATAGATTATAATACAAATCCATTTCATTGGAATCTACTTGGTCATAAATTATTTGCATTATCCATTGAAGCATGTCTATTTTTTTATTTGTTTTATTAAAAGAAAATAAATTTTTTATACAATCAATTAAATATTATTTTTATATTAATTATCCAAAATTATTAATTAAACATCATATGTTATTAATGAAAAAACTTAATCAAATGAAATCGAATCATAATGTTAATGATAATGATCAAAGTAATCATATTAATCAATCAATGATTGATAATAATGAGGAGGATAAAGAGAATAATTCAGAAGATGAAGATGTACATGCTGAAAGATTACGTATTTCAAAGGTATATTTTTTAGTTTTATTATTATTGTTGTTGAAATTTTTTATTAGACTTTTGTAATCTATTCAAGAGGGTGGCCTGCTTGAGCATTTGGGCTACTTGTTGCTGCCATCTAGATAGTTCAACAAGTTATCTATTTTTGTTTGTTTTAATATATCATTATGTTTATTAATCGCATAACATATTCTGCTACGTTTCTGACAAGTGTACAACCTTTCGTTGTCAAAGTTACAAAAAACTCAATAAGGGACAATGTGGTTGCTGGCAATATACAACGAATAGAATGCACATTATTCAGATGTTCATTTAGTGAACTGTTAACATCTAACTGGCGATCACTCAATATTTATAGCCAGGACCGACCAAGAAGAAAGAAACAGAAACTTGTTAAAATACTTTGCGCTGGGAATTCTATATTGTACCAAAAATATAATATTGAATAAAGCTAATGATAATAATAATAATATTTAATTATATTATGATGTTATTGAGAAATATGAATGGATCATTATTGAATATGTTATTCATTGATATCAAGCTAGTGGTTCTTTTTATTTAAATCTTCTGATATTCATTGTTGATTTATTTGTCTGTTAAAGTAAACATTATACATCAGATATTGTTCAGTGAAATTGCTTGCAATTATTAATTCTATATTGGTATATTGTATTATTAAAGTTAAGTATACAGACAACGGATTTATTGTCACAAAAACTAATGTTTTGTGATTAGTGTTATATCCGAGCAAAGATTAAATGACGAGTAACTTCTGAGGCATATTAATGGAATAATATTATCTAAACATTCTTATGTTATAATTATTCAATAATTAGATTATATATGTTTATACTCCTCTTATTATAAGCTTTATTTTGACCTATAATTTATTATCGTACGATTTACTGTTCGTAAGCTATGTCCAGTTTATTGACTACTGTCTCCCACGTTCACAGCCACCTTTTGACTTTATTGTGCACAAACATTATTTCCTATTTTATGATGCGTTGTGGTCTGTTTGGTTGATATGTAAACCGAGTATGTCTGAAATAAATGATTCGATTCGCATAATGGGCGCTGGAATTGTTGTTCTGAACTCAAGTGGACGGGCTAGGCGACATAGGACCAATAAGGACGCTAGACTGCTCATGCCAGTCGAACGTCATTGGTTTGGCACAGTGCGAAGATTGTATAAGTCGTATTTTGATTGGTGAATAAGTCACGTGATAAAGAGCCGAACATAAAGTCATAACAATTAGGAAAATTTTACCCATTAATAAAGATATTGTCATAATTATTTGATAAAGAAAAAAATTCTAGAGCAATGTGCAGTATATTAAAGATGGATAGTGCCTTGCAGTGGAATGGAGTTTGATGCGCGTTCCCGACTATTTGGGACTCGTCAGCTGAATGTACCTGCATCTCAGATTTGATGCTCACTCTGAGACTCAAGCCCAGTACCGTTCGCTTCAGACGCCATCGTATTATTCAAGTAAAGCAATACCAAGTGAAATAAACTTCATCCCATTGCACAAGCAAGTGGCTATCAGGACTCAGTAGCTATGTGGATAACGTGATGGCGTTTGAAGAGAACGGTGCTGGGTTTGAGTCCCACAATGAACACTAACTCTGGGATGCAGGTACATCCGGCTGACGAATACCAAATAGGACGAAATGCGCGTCTTGCATTCCACGGCTAGCCACTATACATCTTTGCTTATAATACTTGTAAATTAAGACAATATTTAGGCAATACTCACAGTATGCACTTTTGCCAATAAGAGATTGATCAATTACAGTCGTAAATAAGAATGAGAAGATTCAAATAAAACAATACCAAGTGAATTGTACAGTACAGTTAAAATATCAGAAATCAACCCATTTTTCAAATTTATTAAAAATTTATGTTTTCACAATTTTGTATGTTATCAACTAGTTCGAGTGACTTATCATTCAACTTGAAATTCTAAAAATCAAATAAATGGGATAGTTTATTATCTTGATCAATTTTCGTTTCGTACGTATAAAAGAATCAGGTATCTAAGATTTATCAGATGAAAGACAAATATCCCACTTAAATTCATTTATTAAGAAAGTAGAAGCGATGGTAAGTTACATTTTACACTTCAAATTTTGTTATATTATACTACTTATTACACCAGGGCGTTTGTTTCTTTTATTCACATATTATATACTACTTATGAGTACCTAAAACTAAATAAGAAACGTTTACGTTCTTCTTATAATATCAAATTATTTCCTTTCATTTATTCCAGTAACCAAATATGGTCACATTTGATTCTCTGAAGGCTACTACTATGATCATTTTCATTTGTTTGTCAGTTGAGTTGACGCTCATCATACTGTTCAGTCTGAAGTATGAGTGTAATTCACTGAATTTTCACTCATTATTTAGACTGCCACTATCAGAACCGTCCAGAAAATCATTTTCTTTTTAAAAGTGATGTAAAGAACATTGATTAGTCTGTGTTGACCCCTTCTCATCGTTTCCAACAAATGTCTTACAGTTGAGTATCTTGTACATGATTTTACATTAACACATTACTAAATGTGATTGTTCATGATAATGTATACACTACGTACATGATTCCGTCAGAAATAAACAATAATTTCATCCATTAATTTTCATGCTTTTACGAATGGTCAAATAAAATTCTTCTCCATTGTTCTGCTTGATTTCATTTTGTCTCGAAACAGACTCTACATTTGTTACTTAACGCTATTCGGTGACGTTTCACTATTAGTTTACGTTAACATTCTTTGAAAATCTCTTAACCTTACATAAAGCTTTCTGTTTAATTCCATTGACACGGATTTCATACAAAATATATTCCATGATTATCAGCTTTACTTGTAAAGGTTTGTACTTTACTAACTTTCTGTACTGTGGGTTGATGAATCTCTATTACGTTCACGCTAAGCAAATCGTCTCAATATTGCACCTTAGTTTATATCTGTTAACATATTTATATTGTAGATAGTATTGGAATCCAAACTGTACGTTTCATTCTACTTCGGAATCCTTAGTATTCAGACCGAAAATTATTGTGTTCAAATCTTGATTTAAAAATCAGTAGTGCAGTCCAGATACATCCAGCTGACATGTCACAAATACAGCGAAACGAGCTTACTGGATTGTGCTACTAGACACTTTTCAACTTTGATGTTAATTTTACTATTCTTTTTACCTCTTCAGTAGCGTCCCTGTGATTATAAGGCTTCACTATAAATAGTTAAATAATCGATATTTATGAATATTTATCAACTAAATTCATTTACCCCTGTTGCTAGTAATTACTACTCTGGAGGTTTAGCATTTACATGGGGAGACAAAGGTTCAAAATCATATTCTTAATGTCAGTCATTACTGCTGTGAAGTATAATACGATAAAGAAATGGCAGCCAAGTGCCCTCAGTTTTCAATGATTATCCAATGTAGATGTGTTTGTGATCTCAAATTTAATTACATTTATTAATTTAATACTACAAATTTACTGAACGTAATGATGACAAACATTCAAACTAGTTAATAAAGAAAAGAAAATCCTAGAAATAGTTTATTTTACTTTTAAATAAGTTAGGGATTTTCTATAACATCATGGTGGTTTGTTCATTCTCAATATGAAATGAATTCGTTTGAATAAATAATAATGAAACTCTTACAATACTTAACAGCTGTTTCACTATTCTTCATAAGAATTCATATTTTCGGTAAATATTAACAAATGTAGTTTCATCATCATAACATGTTCAAGTAGTTCTAACAATTAAGCTAATAGGGAGCAATTCATATTTTATTATACTTTAATTAGTTTACACAACTTTATGGATAGTTATCAATAAAAGATTGTAAAGATCATTATGTTTTTCATTGAGATCATGAACCCGATTGACGTTAGTCCACCATTGAAATCCTGGAAGCATTCATCTCCACAACGAATAATTAGTTTATAGGATACATATATGGTCAAATGAAAATATTCCTGACGAATCGTTATGATTGATATTTTGAGTGAAAACCTTTATTAATTTTGCGCATAGAAAATGAATTTTCAACTTTGAAATCTCATGTTTAAAGACTTTACTGAATATTTAATGATCTAAGTGTGCTTTAAACACGATTAAGGATCTTCAGTAATTGACAATATTAACACAGATTTCATAAGTGAGCTTTCGATGCAAAGTGATTAGCACACTTAAATATCTGCTTTAAATACATCCAAGCATAAATGTTTTCATTGTAACCATCAATTGTTTATGGAATATATGCTATATCATTTGAATATTGTCTTCTATTTTTAACTAGGCTGACAAAGAAGGTTATATCAATTCTCTATGCTCAGTTGCAGTTATTAATTTAACTAAATTTTTCCCTCGGAAGAAGAAACCATCTGTTAATCGTTTAACATTTGGAGTTCGTCCAGGAGAATGTTTTGGATTACTTGGAGTAAATGGAGCAGGTAAAACTACCACATTTAATATGATTACTGGTAAACTACATCCATCCATGGGAACTGTATATGTCAATGGATTCAATGTAGTTACACAAACTAAGAATGCATTGAAAAATCTAGGATATTGTCCACAATTTGATGCTGTTCATGATCTTTTAACTGGTAGAGAAACACTTACTTTATATGCTCGTTTACGTGGTTTTCCTGAAAAACAAATTTCTACAACTGTCAATGAATTATTACAAAATATGGGTTTATTACCATATGCCGATCGTATTACATCAGTTTATTCAGGTGGTAATCGTAGAAAATTATCAACTGCAATTGCTATAATTGGTAAACCACAAGTTATATTACTTGATGAACCAACTAGTGGAATGGATCCAATTGGTAAACGTTTTATGTGGGATCAAATTATATCACTTATTAAAGATGGTCGATCTATTATATTAACAACTCATAGTATGGAAGAATGTGAAGCATTATGTCAATCAATTGGTATTATGATTAATGGACAATTAAAATGTTTTGGTAGTATACAACATTTAAAAAATCGTTATGGTAATGGTTATCATGTTGAAATACGTTTAAATCACTTAGTAACAATTGAACAAATTAATCAATTAAAAATAAATTTAATAAAAAATTTCCTCATTCAATATTAAATGAATTACAATCGCATTATTATGAATATCAAATGAATAAACATATTCAATTATCAATATTATTTAAATTATTAAATAAAATGCAATTCAATCATTATATTGAACATTATTCAGTAAAACAAACAACATTAGATCAAGTATTTGTTAATTTTTCACGTAATCAAATCTATAATACAAAATAAATAAACTACAAATACTACTGAATTAATGAAATAGAATATTGAATGTTTTTTTAGAAAAAAATATATCCCCCTTTATTATTTTTCTATTGAGATGCATTTATTTCATTGTATTACGATGCGGCATGGTAACATGAATTGATTTATGTATGGATGTATGTGTGTGTGTGTATGTACGAAGTTCTATGTTGTTGCTGACTAATTGATTAACTGATTATGATCATATAACAATCATGAATTGTATAAGTGATTGTTAATATTATTATGAATTAGAAATTAATGATATTTATTTATTTAGTTATTTACGCTTATGACTCTTAATGGAGTATAGGCCACTGTCTAGTATTCTTTAATTTACTTTGTTCTAAATCTTCCTTTCTAGTTCTATTCCATTTTCTTTTGTTCATCCTTTTCATGTTTGTATTTTTCAACGTAATGTGTTCTTTGGTCTTCCTCTCCACATTTTTGGTGCCTTGAGGATTCCAAGTCAGGGCAAATCAGTAGCATATATATATATATATATATATATATATATATATATATGTTAATATTCTTGAACATTCAATTGCTTTTCTCTTTCTTAAAAGAACAAACAATTTTGATAAATATTTTTTATCATATGAAACAATCAAGTAAGTTTTAGAAAAAAAATTAGGTTTTTTTTTGTTTGTTTATTATCAAATGTATTATTTTTCAACCATTTTCAATTGTTGTTTATTTCAAGTGTTATATAAGTAATCATTGTATCTCAGATTTGTTCAATCGTTGTATACAAATAGCTTCTAATATATTGAGTCTTTCAAAAACAGGAAATAATCGAGAATGAATATGAATGTATTATTGAAATAGATAATATCAATTATATAGTTGTGTATGAAACATTTATCATTTAATACAAATATAACGTTCGGTTTTATTATTATTATTATTATTCTTTATCAAAATATATAAGTCAATCACAGTATTAGAAGGAGTTTTGTGGAGATTGTAGTAATTGAAACAGTTGAGATTATGAGTTAATTGAAACTAGACCACCATGGAAAACATGGAAGCACTGGAAGGCCGTTTTGTCCTATTGTAGGACTCCTCAGCAGTGCACATCCACAACCCGACTCGTGGGATTCGAACCCAGGACCTATCAATTGACTCATGATCTCAACTGTTTCAATTACTACAATCTCCATAAAACCCCTTCTGATATTAATTAACATTTGCTCACTAGTGACTGGCTTCAAGATATATAGCCTAGAGTTCTGGTGAGAAGCAGTGACCAGTGGAGTTCGACCGGGTCAGTTGTGAGGTAATACCTCACTGATGACAATGATGAATGTGTCTCTCAATTTCGTGGATTACTTGGAGTTAGACATGAACACTGTTGGATGCCGGCCGGCTCAGTGGTCTAGTAAGTTAAGCGCCTGGTGTGAGACTGATAGGCCCTGTGTTCGAATCCCGCGACGCGGGGTCGTGGATGCACACTTCTGATGAGTCCCACAATAAGACGAAACGACCGTCCAGTGCTTCCAGGTGGTCTAGCTTTAATTGAATCGTGATTTCAACTGTTTCAATTACAGTATCAAATTAGTGTAACACAATCTGATGATAAGTTCAGGTGAAATTTCAAGCTCTGTAGAATACTTATTTCAGTGATAATGTAGTGAACAAGAACATAAGTTGGAACAATCGAATGTAATTGAACACAAAATTACAGAATATCTCACTAAAATCTGAGAACAATACAGTAAATACTTGATTTGTAATGTATAAATCCATCATCTCAAATTTGACTGTTCCTGTTGCAAACATCAATCGATTATCTCAGATTTCAATGTTCATGCATTTTCATACCAATGGCATTCTAATCCTGTTCTTTCCTCATCGATCTTCTACTGAAATACATTCTATGCCTGACCACCGTTATATACTACTTATGTGGATATAAGGAAATCACACCACAATAGTAACTAAGTGATGTATCGAAATTTGCTTTATAACTGAATCTTTAGAATAAAATTAAAATTCTTCAGTGTTTTGATACTGAGAGATTAATATCTCTACTTTTAATCGTAATGAAATGTTTGTAAATTTCGAAAAGTACCGTCTCGTAACCCTGTATAGTTCATTGGAACAAATTTGATAATAATAATTAAATGATTATGAAAAATTATCTGTATAGAGTTAAGGTGATTGTTGAGTTTTAATTGATATCGTGAATGAATGAATGTTAGACCATCATTGAAAACCTGGAAGCACTGGACAACTGTTTCACTCTGTTACGGGACTCATCATTAGTGTGCATCCACGATCTCGCATATGGGATTCGGACCCAGGACCTGTCGATTTCATGCGCAAACACTCACTCTCTAAATCACTGAATCGATATGTAACGGTGTTAATATCTAACTACAAACGATTCACGATATTTCACGACTGTCCACCATTGTCTTCACTGAGTAACTACCTCTAAAACAGAAAAAAATATAAAGCTGTCAGTATTGACTCACTGTAGATAATGTGATAGTAAAATAGGGCGTGTTATCAATTTAGTTGTTGGTATCCTAAGTTAATGAAATTATATCTTCAACATTATTGACGACCGAAATAGTGTGCATTTCAAATGAAAAGTAACCATTACTAACGTAAGATTATGTAACTTGATTAAATAAATAAAATCTTAAAAGTATTAATTTCATGTATTGCGTTATTGAATATCAGTATCGAACGAATAATATTTATGATATTAAAGTTTCCATAGCTGCTTGTATTTAAAAAATCAAATTCTTTGTTCTTAATTTCTTCAAAATGTAGTATTTTTATAGTAGACTTTATTAATATTAGAAGAATAGAACAGATCAATTAATAAATCAGAATTATGGTATGTTTACTTGAAGTTTTGAAGAATTCTCGATAGATTTTTGATCAAAACTAAGTATTAGATAAATAGATATATTATCAGAAGAGGTTTGTGGAGATTTTTAGAAATTTTCAGAGATTGAAATCATGAGTCAGTTGAAGTGAGACCACCATTGAAAACCTGGAAGCACTGGACGGCCGTTTCGTCCTAGTATGGGACTCCTCAGCAGCGCACATCCGCGATCCCGCACCACGCGGGGCTCGAACCCAGGACCTACTGGCTTCGCGCGCGAGCACTTAACCATTGGACCACTGAGCCTGGGTTCGAATCCAGTGAGTGGGATTGTGGATGCGCGCTGCTGAGGAGTCCCATACTAGGACGAAACGGCCGTCCAGTGCTTCCGGGTTTTCAATAATGGTCTAGCTTCAACTGACTCATGATTTCAATCTCTGAAATAGATATATTGGCAAATTTATTCATGTAACATGTTAGTTATGACTCTAATAGGAAAACAGTAATATGAGTTCATAATAAAAATCAATTAACTTTACTAGAATAACTTGAGAGAACTTATTGCATGAAGACGTAATAAGTAGTTATAGATTATTCATAATTATTTGAACGCCATATTACTCAAATTTAATTGATCAAAACTCTTAACTTTTACTCTTTGTTATTCAAATTTGTCAACATCATGATAGGGTAATACTTGATAATTGTTGACACAGTCTACATCGAACTAGTCAGTTTAAGATAATAGAATAAATTAAAATATATTTCTGTTTAGATCTAGATATTCTGAAAATGTCACTGATTAGCTTTAACACAATCGAAAAACTTTACATCATATTTTAATAATTTAGATCTATTCTAAACCAGTTATCCACCTTAAACAATGGATGAAGGGTTGAGGAAGATCATGGATCGATTGAAGTTAAACATTAACACCGTTAGATGTTGGCTCAGTAATTTAGAGATTAAGCGTTCGCGTACGAGACCGAAGGTTCATGATTCCAGTCCCACGTACAGGATCGTGTTTGCGCAATATTGAGGAGTTCCACACCAGAACGAAACGGTCATCCCCTTCTTTCAGGTTCTCAATGATAATCTAGTTCAGATTGATTTATTAATTCGACTGTTAAAATATTACTACAATCTCCACAAATCCCTATTTCGATAATTACATATACCAGAAGGGGTTTTTGTGGATATTATAGTAATTTAATGGTTGAATCCATGAGTCAATTGAAGCTAGACCACCATAGAAAACCTGAAAGCATTAGACAGCGGTCCCGTCCTATTGTTGGACTCCTTAGCAGTAAGCATCTACAATCCCACCCTGCGGGATTCGAACCCAGGACCTATCAGTCTCGTACGCGAGCGATCAACCTCTAGACCACTGAGCCGTCATCATACGGTGTTAATGTCTAACTTCAATTGATCTATGAAATTGAGCCACCGTCCACATATACATCATACATATACGTGAATTTTGTTGGATCCGAGTGAAAATTCAAAACTCGTTACACTTTTTTTATACCTATTTCCAGTAAATTTAATAATCAATTAAATAGAAATTGTTTACATCTCAATAGTTAAAAATACAACTGATAACTTATAAACAATGGTGTCAAAAGAAAAACGCTTAGGAATTTCAAATTCATTCACAAAACTATTTATAATATCCCTAAAAAATAACCAAGAAATAAACAAATTTACCATTGTCTTTGTAGCCCTCCCCCCATCCTAATTACTGATGTATATATCTATGTGATGTAGTAACTAAACTTAATGTATCTATTAAATTCAACATAAAATTTATTCAACCATTATGTCATAATAATCAGTATAATTATGATTGTTTCATAATTGTAAACAACTAGAAAGAATTTCAATAAAAAGGGGTGGATTCATAACATTGATCTTTGGTTATTGTTTACGGATTATGGAAATATGTTGATAGGGATAATAATAATAATAATAATGA